ACCATGTTCTTTTAGATCGATCTATATGTTACAAAACAAACCTTATGGTTTTTACCGCCTATATGATTCACTTATAGAAAATTGTTGTCATCAAGTCTAAAGGAAACACAAACCAAAATATTAAACATCGTTGAAAATGATTTCAACGATATTTGACCCCTATAATCAAATGAAGCGACGCATGGCGTTAATAATTGTTCATTCTAATATTAACATCGAATTTATTTTTATCATTTTAACTTTGATGTGCTAACCTTGAATTTGCTGTCGTGGGTAACTTAAGTAAACTCAATTATATTCCACATCATGGATTTGACAGGGAAAAGTTCTAATCAGTGGTAAATATTAGCAAAAACCATTCTGCCATACACAAATATTTTCACTTCATCTTTTTCAAACAATGCGCACTTTGTTCGACGTGTAGCGTTTGACACTTGACCCCAAACCGGAAAGGCATGCGGTCCCATCATGCTTAACGTACCGGAACGAAGAGGAACACTGAAAATTAAAATGCGTAAACTAAGCGCGGGTCATCACAGAGTTTAATTAGAAAAGAAGGATGCACAGTCTTATTAATAGGTCCATGGTGAAAGCAAGCTGTTGCCTGGACAAGTCGTCTACTATTGGATGACTGACGCATGTCAAGAACGAAGATACACAAACTATCTTATTCGGAACGCACATTGTCAACAAAAAAAAAAACTAATCGATGCGTAGGCGCGGATTTGAGTCCACTAAAAGCATTCCAGATAATTTTTTTTTTTTTTTAGATTAATGAAAACGTTTTATTTCATGTTTGTGTATTCTTAGTTTTGACAAGATTCGTACTAAATTGCAAATATGGGGGTGGAAAACATGAATTAGTAGTCGTTTGACAGTTTTGTAATAATCTGTTTTTGTTAATATGGTCATGTTTTGGGGAAAAAAGCAGTAGAACTATCCATGAATGTACATCAAACGTTAAACAAATCATATTAAAAGCTTCCAAGTTAACAATAGCCTAGGCCTAGTGTAAGAAGTGTATATTATTGTGTGACATGGAGGCGGGATGGTTGTGGAAGTGTAATTATATGCTGCTGGTGAGCCTATTTGTTTTGGCCTAATGAATAGGCCTAAATATTCCCAACAGAAGGTACGTTATATTAGTAAATTAATATTTATACTTGAAAATTTGGATGGAGTGTTTAACATCAGGTTTTGAAGAGGTACCAAAGATCATAGGCCTGTTTCAAGATTCAGACAGTTAATTTGTGGAATCCACACATTTGTACCAGTTTTTCCAAACATTCTAAAAAGATTTTGAAACTCATTGCTACAATTCACCATCTGTGCAATATTTGTCACGTATTTCAATTGCACAATAGATTGACTGCAATTTTCTGATATATAAGGCTGTTCTCTCTCTCTATATATAAAAAAAGACATAAGCCAGGGGCGGATCCAGAGACTGTCTCTTATACACATCTAGATGTGTATAAGAGACAGAGTTACTGTAACAACCTTTGAGGCGTTTTAATTGGGCGATCATTTTTTTTTCTTTTTATTCTTTCTTCCTTTTTTGTCTTTTTTTTTCTTTCCAGAGATTGAATGGTGGAGGTATGAAAATATCGACAGGGACAAAAGAACTCTGATTTATGAAGCAAATATTCCACAATTCATTTATTCATCTATAGTAGGCTATCAATAAGCTCTATTTATTATTTCCAAATATAAAATTTATTAATAATTTAGAAAATTGCGTCTACTTTGCGTTTGAAAGAATTATCTTATGAATTATGTTTTGTATTCTTGATGAATGAATTCCCTAAATAGGGAAAGAAAGGCATATTAGTGTTATTGTAAATGTTATAATTTTACAAGTACAAACATATGATTGATTCTCATTTTAGAGAGGCCTGTACACATCGAAAGAAAGACCAATAGCTGCTAAAGTAAAATATTTGTTGATCTTCGAACAAGTTCGTTATAGAAACTTTCTAATTAAAGAAATGATCACAGTATTTACTGTTGCTTCATCGAAGTATGATTCAACCAATTTTCATTTTAAATGCAGTATCGTAGATCTGTGTTTTATGAGGATTAGTAGAAAGTAAACACATTCAAATCCTTGATGAATGCCCAACCTAGAACGAAGGTGTATATGTAAAAAGGTTATATTTGACATATTTGACAAGTAATGTGTGAAGATATAACCCATTCATTTTAACTGATTGTACCGTATTTAGAATTACCAGGTTTGATGGATTAGTTCTCACTAAACGAACACGTTGTCATAGAATCTTATTTTTTAAATATGTATTTTGTATATAAATTTGATTTCTCTTGTAAACATAAATAAATTAAAATTTTTCATCGTTTATAATAATTATATTTTAATAATCAGTCCTGTGATTTTAAATGTTTTCTCGAATGCACTTCCTTCTTTTATGTTGAACAATCAGTATTTCATTAAAATAATATTAACAAACATTTTAACAGCCGTATCAAGAGAGTTGTGGCTTGATCATCGTCAAGTGGAGCTGATTGGTGAGCGGGTGGAAAAATGAGGGGCTAGATAAGAAAGTGAGGTAACATGAGCTAGTGATTTTAATTACATTCTATTTGGAAATCTTATAATGTCAATCTTAATGCTTAGTTTGAGAGCTTATCACAAAGATGTCTGTTCCACATGAGTGCGTCGCCTAGTACTGTTCCGTATTTGCTGACGAAAGTGAAAATAATTGCTTTCATCAGATTCAAATTCACAATGGCCGATTGGTGACGAAGTCAACCATTATACAGTAATTCGAAACCATCTTGCGGCCAAAAAAAAAAAAAAACAACCAAAAGCTGTTGGTGGTATGGAGCGAGTGGCTTTTGACGGAAGTAAAAGAGATAATATACCATTAACAGTTTGAAATGAAGATCCATCATAATGAATTAGTATTTGCTATTTCTTTACAAAGTAAGGTATGCACGTATGCACCCGTACCCCACTATATAGGCTAGGTCTAAGCACAATTGCAATGCGGTGTTAGTAGTACTGCAGTACCTGGATCGAGTCCAGGTTAGGGATTTCACAAGGCGTTGTCAATCACCAGGTTAGCCTACTTAGCTTATGGGAAGGAAACTCTTTCTAATCAACTGAATGAAATGAGACTTTGACTCTCATCTTATTAAAGGGGTCACTACGGAGACTGACATACGGCTTTTAGTGCTCGCGACTCAAGTGCATCGTTTTCCTCTTCTAACCTATATTGAAGTGTTCAACGCTGAGAAATCGCAACGGGGTCGTGCACCGCGTCACCAGGGCTATGGCGCATGGCGATTCCTGAATGACGGGGTATTTTTCGGACCCAAAGGGGTTCCCACCCAATGGAACATGACTAGATAAATTTATAAGAGTCAAGTACCTTCACTAAAACTATGACTGACTCTTATAGTACATTTGCACAATTGCGAAGAGGACACTAACAATTGCATTGCCATTATATTATACCTCCTATAACTAAGATAACTTGTCGTGGTGGGGACTTGGGGTGGGGACACGAAGGCTAAATGAAGGGGAGAGAAGTTGACGTGAGGGGAAGACGGCGCGCAAAATATTTTTGTTTTAATATATTTACACTATTAGATGTAAAAATATTATTACTATTTATATTATTATTATTATTATTATTTTTATTATTATGTTATTATTATCATATTTGCCATAAGATATTTACCAATTATAAAATCATTATAGCGCAGACAAAATTATTTAAATGTTAAATACGTCCAATTTACAGTAAACATAAAACAAATTATTATTATTATATTAATATTACTATAATCATATTATTATATTGATATTATTATATATAATAATCATGATTATTATTAATATTATTTCGATGATGTCAGAAAATTTAATAGGAATAATGTTGTATCTTTCCTGACGCGTTTTATACTGAATATCACGTTCCAAAATACGTGCAAACAAAGTTATTAGTGACTCGAGTGAGATTCGAACCCGACGACCTCCAGATAGGTAGCGTGGTGTCATGACACCGAGCTTACGCTTACTGTCTATTGCTAAGTCCGATCAACAAGCAGTAGTTGATACTGCAATGCTATTTTGATGGTGTTTTGCTTCAGGAAATTTTCGCTTACGAGATATTTTTCGCAAGTGGGGACGTGCTGTAGTTCAGGTAGACAAAACATACCGGTATACAGCAATAATATTAAAAATTGATGAATGGTTTGACTATTTTCCACCTAGTCGTTTTCCTGCTGATTCTTACAAAAAAAATTGAAAAATTCTTGGAAATATTTGAATTAACCCTGTTCATAATTTTTCATAGCATTAAATATTGTGTTTTCTGTCCAGTTAAGCCCATAATGACCGTGATAGTTATATCGTCTGAATTAAACTATTGTGAATTATGCCAGAATTAACCCATGACTATTATGTCTAATGTATAAATTAGATATAATTTAAGCTTAAAAGTAGGTTTCAAGTGGCATATGCAAACATAGATGGTACAGTATTCCTGTGATTCGACCGGTAGGTGCCACAGAACACATAATAACTGGAAAATGATGGTCGTAAAATCATGGTACCCAAAAGATCATAAAAATACCGATTATGTTTGGATTATCCTTGTTTAACATCATTTTATTAGCATTATACTATTGTGAATTTAAGTGGCATTTGTAAACATGGATAGTATTTTTGTGATCCGTAGGTGCCACAGAACACAAAACAACCAGAACAAGGGTACCGGTACACTCCATGTTTTTGCCATAATTTGGCTATTTTTCACCTCTTTTTTGGCTTATTCTTGCTTTATGAACCAAAGGATCATGAAAATACCATTTATGTTTGAATTAACCATATTTAACATCATTTTATTAGCATTAAACTATTGTGAATTATGCTAGAATTAAGCCTATATGCTAAATAAATTAAATTTAAACTTAAAAGTAGGTTTTAAGTGGCATTTGTAAACGTGGATAATATTTTTGTGATCCGGAATTGCCACAGAACACATATCAACCAGAAAATGACTGGCTCGAAAAATCGGCCAAAAAAACCATTAGCTATATTACCGGTACCTTTTGTATTTTTCATCTAGTCTAGCTGATTCTTAAATTAAGATACGCACGGATTATGAAAATACCGACTATGTTTAAATTAATTCTCCTTTTTTAACATCATTTTATTAGCATTAAACTAGGCCTATTGTGAATTATGGCAGTCTTAAGCCTGTATGCCTAATGAATAAATTGTAATTATGACGGCTCCCTGGATAGACAGACAAACAGAAATAAATACCGGTACATAGCTTCGTCCACAGTTATATGAACTTTTATTTGTTGTTAAAGCACCATCGTTGTTTTTATTATTGCCTGTATTGCCTCAATTTAATTCTCATATACGATTATTTACATTCGATTTACAAAGTAATTTTCAATTTATCTTTCTTTACAAATTCAAAATAGGATGCAAGATAAATAGATCTGATGTATGTATTTTTTATACGATATGACTCATACATGTCTAATCATTCTGCAGCAGGGTCATCAATATGCATATGCACATCATCAACATTATACAAGTCTAATCATTTCTCTGCAGCAGGGTCTCCTTCAGCAAACACGATTTTTCCGACGTCATCAATATTCATATGTGGATGGATGCCAACCTCTATGCCTTCATCTTTGCAGATATCCATCAGGTTCGCGATGTTAGAGTCTGACAACCTTAGATACCTACTCTGTAGCACTTCGAAGGCGTTGAATTCTGGCGCTTCATGCTGCTGCAACGGCAGTCTTTGTGACAGCATCTGGAGAGCCAAGAGTCGCTGTTGCTGCTTACGGCTCAGAGTTCCCATAGATGTTGACAAGAGGCTTCCCTGACCCTGATCCACCAGCGCGTGTATTTCTTCCAGTGTCTCACGTGATAGTTGCAGGCGATGACCAGGATGTGAGGTCAGACCTGAAAGATCGTAGTTCGGTTGATGCAACTTTGATTGGGTACGAGCACCTAGTTGAAAAGAGATTCTAATATAATTTATTATTATCATGAAAATCATTATTATCATTATCATCCTCATCATCTTCACAAGAATCCCAAGTTGGAAAACATTCCTTCTGGGAGATCTGTTTTATTTTATTTTTTTCTGGGAGATTTAATTTTGCTCCATATGGTGATATCCATTGGCACGGACTTCTGACAATTGATAATAAAGTAGGAAAAACATGCAAATATTATGAATTTGCGGGAGATAGGTTATTTTTCAGGAGATTCTCGATTGCTTGTGGGTGTGCGGGAGGACGTTCCAATCCGGGAGATTCCCGCAACTTCTGGGAGATTTGGGATTTTATCCTTATCATCATCTTAATCACAATCATCGTCATCGTCATCGTCATCGTCATCATCATCATCATCATCATCATCATCATCATCATCATCGTTATGATTTTCATTATAATAAATACTATTATCATGATCATTATTCATATTGCTTTGATATCATTATTAATATTATTATTATTAATATTATTAAAATTTACTCTTGGAACGATTATGAATGTGTACTTTATGTATAATAACCAACATTATTACAACCAAATTTAAATATTACAAGTAGATATTATAAGTTTTTTTATTTACTAGGCCAAAAATGAAATTAATTTAGCACAAGTAGAGTTGCCTAAAACAGATAATAAGCAGCATAAAGCCTACACGTATATTAGGTGTTTTAAACGTTTCTCTTACATTTGCCTATATTGACAATTATGTCTTAACAATTTACTGTAGTGTAGTGCTCTTTAAAAGTTTACTCATTGCAAAACTGGAGAGGGCAGCATAACGGAATTTCATAAAAAATAATATTAAAGCAATAAAGTTATTGGTCAAAATGAACTCACTGTCAACATTATTGTCATGCTTAATCTGAATATTCAGGTAATGTTTATAATGATGCAATAATAGTTATAAAGATGATGATGATGGTGACGATTACGACAATGACTTAAAGATGATGAGGATGATGATGATGACGATGATGTAGTTGTTGTTGATGATGATAATGATATTAATAAAATAGAAATAATAAACATATAAAAGTAAAAAATGGTCCAATATTTATCATACTCCCCTGTCAAAAAACCCCCCCAAAAACAAAACAAAAAAACAAACAAACAAAAAAAAACATCATCTAACATCAACTTACCATTTTTCTCCGTCTTTGCCTTACTGGTGCCAAGATGCGAATCGTGTGTACTTCCACGTCTGCGTGTCGCTGCTTCGTTACCGGGTGAATTATTTGATATTTTAGACTCAGTTGATTTTTGTTTCGTTTGAACGTGATGTAAACTTTTACTAGCCCTGTCATTATCTTGTGGTTTCTTCGTTTGAGATTCTATATTAACAGGAAAAAAAAACCAAAAAAACATTAAGTGTAAGTTCTGTGTTTTTTAACAGTGGTGACTCCAGAAAACTTACTGACAGAGAGGTCGAATAAGTCAAACAAAGGGGGTCTGATCCATGGGGTCCGAATTAAGCGGCCGCCTGGGGCCTCGATCAGGGTCAAGAAATAAAATCTCTGATAGGGTCCATTGGGAGAGATGTAATGGTCTAGGATTGCCAAATTTGCGTATTTAGACCACAATTGGCAATCATAATAAATTTGTTTTGATCGGGAAATTAGTATTTTCAGTCTGACGACTAGGCCTATGTCGAGGCGTCGGACGAGAGGTGGAGGTAGACCATGTTTGTCCGGGCGGGTGGAGTTTTCCCTGACACCACGGAATATGGATTACCTTTGTTTATTTCTGGGACAGCTTCTTCTAAGGCCAAATAAAATAAATTGTTTGTTTGCCCTTCTTTTTTTTAAAATGATAAATAGGGGCGGGTGGAAAAAATTTATTAATTTTTTTAAATACTCATCAGATGGAATAAAAATAACCCACAGAGGCCTAGAATGGCAATATCTTACATCAGACAACAACTTTAGACTAATTTGTGGGGCATCTGGCAAAAAATAAAGATAAATTCACTCACATTATTTTTAATTTGTAAAGAAAAAAGCTAAAAACACAACTTTTTAAAAGTTTTTTTTTTTGTTTTTCCGCCCCTATTTTTTCCAGTGAGTTAGGGGCGGGGGGAGGAGGGCAAACAAACATTTTCTTTTTTAGCCTAATAAATGGTGCTAGAACATAGCCTATGCCACAACGTTTACAGTAACTATCTGAACTGAAGTAAAATAAAACATATGGAATAAAACGTAGTATGCCCACCAAGCAATATATACAATTATCAAACGCATGCACCAAAAGCATGATATCACCATGCCCATATATGGGCACATTACACAAATTTCTCACATAACATCTGATAGTGTGGACAAAACTTTAGCATAGCAGAAATAAACACATACTTGGTTGTTGGGATTTGACGGCACTCCGTGCAATTCTATCCCTTTCTTTTTCCTTTCCCTTTGACAACACCGGCTCACTCGCCATTTTAGGGTGACCTCTGGTACAATCTGATGTCTTACTAGATGAAGCTGTTGATTCGGGATGTTTAGGCTTGATATTCGGTTTACTAAAAACGTCAGCCGTCCCCCCAGTCGTCGAATGTCCTTTGGTGCGAGCGGCGTGGTCCGATGGGCGGTGATTATGTAGAGAAGAAAACGAAGGCTTTTTAGCATTGCTTTGGTCAACTCTGACCTGCTGACGAATAGCTCGATGGCTAGCGGCATCAGGTCGATGGAAGCTGCTGCTGTTGTCATAATGCTGTTGGTTATGACCAGTATTCAAAAGCGAATCCCTACGTCCGCCGATATAGGAACCAGAGGTGCGCCGGTCCGGCAGGTATGTGCTATGGATGCTGAATAGGGCGAGTGTCGTTTAGTATAAATTCAATATAAATTTATTAATTGATATTAAGTTGTTTAATAGTACTTTATACTGCATTATTTAACGTGCAAACGGCTATGTTGCACACGGAACCAACGGCTAAACATAATTATATATATTTTATTTTTTTTAATTTATTTTTTTATAGAACCATAATTTATATAGCGCCTTTCACAATCCGCAGATTTTACAAGTGATTATACAAGGCGCTAGCATCATTATTTGCCTGGTCACTGGATACTGAATTGGAAGATCCGCACATTGTGCAA